AAGAAAGAAAGAAAGAAAGAAAGAAAGAAAGAAAGAAAGAAAGAAAGAAGAAATGGTTACCTAGAGTGCGCACAGAATTTGCAGTCAGGCAGCAGGAGACTAATTGTATTTCGTGGAGGTCACGGGGTTCACCTGACAGGGACCCGATTATGTGATCCATCCCTCCTCCAATGTCAGACAACTGGGTCAAGCGAAATAGGCACAGTTGCTTCAGGTTTGTCAGCCCGTTAGCTGTAAGGAGACGGAAAGCAGACTCCTTAGGATGCCAGGCTAATTTGATTAAACAGAGATGAGTGGACTGAAAAGAAGGCAACGAAGCACTGAGCAGGCGCCCTGTGTTCACGTTCCACGGGGTTACTTTCTTTAGACTCACACTTCCCAGTATTCCAGCCTGGAAATATTCAAAAACCACCTGCACACAGATCATTCTCTTAATAGCGTGACAAAAACTGTAGGAGTTGTGTAGCCTGCTCAGGGGGGATCAGTGGGTGCTCTTCCCATGACTCTTTTCATGAATGAAATCTTCTGCAAGCTCATGCCCCTTAGTCCCCTAAAACTTTTAGGGTGAAGCTACGTGCTGGGGGCCACCATATGGACTTACAACAAAGACTACACTAATGTAGCAAATTTGACCAGATTGGTCTTACATCAACCGAAAACATCCTTAAGTGCCCTGATTCTTAGGTTTAAAGTTAATGTAGACCTTGGGGTTAATTAAGTAGAGCTTTATGTCATTAAAATATTTCTAGTCTGAGTTGGTTTTTTTTGGGGGGGGTGGAACCAGGGATTGAACTCAGGCCCTTGCGCTTGCCAGGGAAGCGCTTATTCTACTGAGCCATCTCCCCAGCCCCATCTAGTCTGAATGTACTCAACACACTACACACTATTACACAATAATTCTTTAGTACATAGCACATTATTATTAATATAATTAGGCTAGTTTACTTAAGTTAAGATTTGATTTCTTGGGGCCGGCCAGATAGCTCAGCAGACTAAAGCGCCTGCTTTGGCAGAGCGCAGCAGCTGGGGTTCAATCCCTGGCATGTTGTGCCAGCCCCACCCCTGAGGTGCACTGAGA